GGTTTGAGCTACGTAAGGATGTCATTTCTAGACAATGAGGGAAAATCTCTTCAGAGAAACTAAATTTCTGTAATTTGGAATAGCTCACCAGCTTTCCATTTGGTTTCGTAAAGAACTCACCTTTATGCTGAATCCAAGAATGGAAAACCTCTCCAAAAGCATTTTGTGATCAATGTGCTGCTGACAACTGGGAATTGAAGTGGGAGCTATATTTGGCTTGAGCTCTTCTGCTACTGTATGTGCTCTGTTGCTATTAACAATTTGTATACATGTGGTGTAATTCTAGATGGGTGTATGATGTGCATATTCAGATTATCTGTGCATGTACATACTTAGATTCAAGAAACATGTATGCAAAATTTGTTAAAAGCAAGGGACTTTTGGTAGTAGAAACAGCTATGATGTGTGTGTGTGTGTTTACTTGGAAAAGAAACCCAACCCAAAGACCTATAATGCAGTGGTTGGCTGACCTCCCTGTATGACTCTTTCTATTTACGTGGTTACTCATTCTCTTTGTTAACGTTGGTTTTTTTTATGCATAGGCTAGAATGTTGTGGAAAAACACCTACAAGCACAATTCCTAACCATTCATCATGGCTTCACTTTGGGGTTTAGATCAGACACATCTAAATCCTGCTCTGTAGTTATGTGCTCCACGTTCTCATGATGGCCGTCTTCCAGATCTGTGGGTCTGGAATGTGACTGATGTGCACTGGGGTTTTTTTGCTGAACTGCACTTGGTTTGGGACTGTTACAAATGAGTTTTGTCATGCATCGTGTTTACGGTCATGGGGGTGAGGGGGGGAAGCTACAGACGGAGACGTCGCTGTTGGGGCTTGCACTGTATCTGTTATGCATTCATATACAGCGTCATTTCCCTGTCACTATGAAACACCTTTACTGGTAGCGGTCACACGCATCGCCTTTGGATTGTGGCATTTTCTGTCTCGGGTTAAATGTGTGTTAATCCTGTGGGTGTTGCCATTCCTTCTACTTGCAGCTTCTCGACGTCATTCCAGGTCCACTAGTGCTCTCTCCACTGCTGATTCTGTTGGGCAGTCAGGTGAACAAGCGCTAACTGCATGAATCCGCTTCTTATACGTAGTCTTGTTTTACACCATCTTAACATTTGCTGTCATGTGCATCAGCCAGCACTTGGCATGTGCTTCTCACTGCTGTGGGGCTTTCTGTTCTGTTTTTGTTCAGTGTGGCTTTTTGTTTTGAATTTCATTTCTTGGATGTTTTTAATTTTATGTATTTTAGGAACATTGTGAACAGTGTTTAAACAAAGGGTGATCCAGGGCTTTCTCAATTCTCCTGTAAATTGGATCAGTTGTGCAGCATGGGATAGATCCTGACTGATGCAGAGTACTTGCAACTTCTGTTTATACTTCCTCTTTAGCAGTGTAGCAGTTCCCAATGCCTAGGACCAGACCTTAGTGGGTTTCATCCCATTTATTACTAAATATTCTGGAGTCCTGTCTCTGTTAATGAAAGTTCTTTGTGGGATCCTCTCCAAAATACACAAGAACAGCAAGAATTAAGCACCTGATGAGCTTTCAAAATGAACTTTGGAGCATAACACATGCTGTTCCATCCTTCATATAATTCTGAAGGCCTTGTACATGGAAGTTGTTGAAAAAATCATTCCCTTAATTTCACTGGGCTTTGCATCAGGAGACTAACGCTTACATATAATGAGAAAAATGTGCAGATTCCAGTTGCTTCTTCCCCACCCCTGTGCTGGATTCGCAGTTGTGGAGAACCTGTAACGCCCTCTGAAATCAGGATATTTCACTGGGAGCCTTAAAAAGAAATGAATGAGGACTGCGAGCTTTGGGACAATAGAGAATTAACTGTGGGGACAAAGATGATGTAGAAGATGAGGGCTTCAGTGTTTTCCTGGAGGCTGAAATTGTATAAGGAATTAGTGACACTGAAAGTTATTTAATTAACCCTCTTCAGGTAGGGAGTGAAAAATAGTCTGTTTCTCATAAGTCTAGTTAAATAGCTGTCACTTAACTAAAACTCTCAAAACACTTCCCTTATCAGGTTACTCAGCAGAAATGTTGCAACCTGATTTGACTAGCATTTTCTAAAGTAACAATTTGAATTTGTATTTAATAAAAATAATGAAATGATTTAAAATACCTTGCTGTAATTCAGATTTAAGCTTTGTTTGCATTCAATTTCCTGCGGTAGTCACTTCATGCTTTGTTCCTGTGGTTTGGTACAAAGCATAATCAAATTCTATATGGTTTCCTGTGTCCTAAAGAAGGCCCAAATCTCCCTAAAAATGGCAAAATTGGCCCGAAAATGGTGCTTGGGAATTTTCACCAAGTTTGTAACAATATAATGAATCTAGCCAGGGAGACAAAGGAATGTGGCCAGAGCATACTCTACTTATTTCTTGCCCAGTAACATTGGGCTTGCCTGTACTGGTTATTCCTGGAGCCAAATGTGTTCGCAGCCCCACGTTAGAGATATGCTGAGGGTCTCTCCTAAGGTCTAACTTCTGCACTCAGGTATGGCAACAGTGTCTTGGGGAGGAGCCCAGAGTGACTTGGGTGTTACGAATTTAAAGATCACTGAAAGAAGTATTTCAGAAAATTCCTGATAGCCATGGAGGCAGATAAAAGCCAGCATGCCACACTGTACTTAATTTGTTAAAAAAGCTCAATTTTGTTTCTTAATGCTGGGTATTTAAATTGATCTATAATTGAATTACTTTGTCATTCTGTTCTTCATTTTAAAAAACAAAACCCAAACTATCTTCCCTTTTCTAATGTAATACTAAATTTACGTGGAAATAAATGACAATGGTATTTTTTGCTGCTATGTTATTTCAAAAGTTAAAGCCAAATTCTGATCTCATTAACACTTGAGTAATGTCATTGAGTTGGGTTTAAATATAAAACTGAATCCAGAACTTGTCTCAACATTTACAGCTCTTGTACTGCATCAGATATCATTTACACTTAGGTAAATACTTGTCTTCTGTACATCTTTCTAGCGTGTAGCTCTGTAGTAGTGACTTTAGTTTCAATCAGACCTGATGCGTTATCTTCTCTGCGCTTCTATTAAGAGTGTACAGATCTTTCCATTTTAGGGATGAAGCACTGTTTCACCTAAATATTGGAAATGATTCTTCAACCCAAGTGCATTAAAAAAGGGGATAGTAATAACACATACAACTTTTATTTCTTTGTGAAATGTCATAATTTGATTACTTTTTGGCAGTAGTTCTAAGAAGTTTGTTTATTTTTTTTTTCCCTTGTAATGTGTTTTGTAGAAAACGTGCTTTTGTTGTAAATCAGAAATGTCTTGTCTGGGTACATCACTGAGAAACAGTAAATTTTGATAGATGACGCTTCTATTTGAAATACTATTATTCAGGTTTTTGTTTTTCCTCAAAATACTTCAGATTTAAAAATATCTTCCCTATTTCCCCATAGTAGCTTAATCTCTGACACACTTATGTAAAGCTTTGGAATTAGGACAGCAGACTGGCAAACTTCAGTCTCTGATTTAAATTATACATGTCAGTGTGAGCTAATTCCTTAAAAGATATTTCAGTGCAGTAGGTTTTTAAAGAAGAAAGCAATGAAGTTTTGTGATAAGCGCACTGTTTTTCCCGAAAAATACAGTAAGCTGCTGAATATCGTGTTTGACCACAGTTTTGTGGAAATCCACGATAATAGTTACGCATTTTGATAAATAGTATTTTTCCTTTTGTTAAATTAAATATAGGTGAACTAATAAAAGACCTGTGTGACTTGATCCCTCTCTCTTGCTGCTTGATGACTACCTCCAGTGTGGACCAGCTGAAGGTCTATTAAATGGGTTCATGCAGCTTGATTCGTGCACCATTGAATTTGGGGGCAAAACTCTTACTGGCATGTGTGGGTGCAGGGGACAGAGGTGTAAGGTATGTCCTAGGAGGGATATTCCCAGTCCTTCTTGAGCAAAGACAAGCCCACATGGAAATAAAAACTTGGAATGCCAAAACCAATCTCTTTCTGCTTATAGACCAAAGTCAGGATCCCAGTAATATGGTATCTGATCTACCCACATCTAGAACAGCTGTGCTGCCAGAGCCTGGCTTGTTATACTCAAGTCACTGATTCTGTCATATCACTGCTAGCATGCCTTTTTGAATCAGGCCTTTGCCCAAAGAAACTAATTTCAGTAACTTTTTTGGTAGACTGGGCAAATGGTAAACTAATTAGTATTAGGAGTGTAAATGGCATTTTAGACTCAACCCTGTTGCTTTGGATGTCATTAAGAGCTTTGCCATCAAATTCAAAGGGAGAAAGATGATACTGTTTGATCAAAAAAAAAGTCTAAATTTTGATATATCATAGAACTTTTAAATGGTATTTAAACTGCTTCTCAAGAACAGTAATAAAACAAAAATTGGAGTAAATTCACAAGCAAATAATAAGCCTTATTTTTATACTGTGGGGCATAGGGGGATGTTCTACTGGTTAATCAAGCCTTGAGATATAAAATAGGTTAATCCGGTGCTGCTAGTCTCACATCCTTGCCTGAGAAAAAGCTGCAGGATGGATAAGTGCTCAGGTATTAACATGTTCTGACACTGGGCATGATTCTGTCTCTCTGAAGTTAATGAGATGCTTTCTCTTGATTTCTGAGAGTGCCAGATTGGGACCAGCATGTCTGCCTCTGACATTAAAAGAAAACTTTGAAACAACTTCTGTGTAAAAAGAAACATTAAATAGATACCCTGCTTCCCAGCTTAAAAAAAAAAAAAAAAAAAGTTGCCCCGAGGATCCAAAATTGTCTCTGGGTCCCAACAAACAATAGTTCATTTCTTACTCTAATGGCAAACTCTCTAGAGCTGTGGATAAAAGAGTGTTTAGTGGAAAAGCACTGTGAGTTCCCAGAGCCTGTGGGGATAGCTGCTCGGGCACCTGATTAGGATTCCAAGTGAATGTGAATTCATTTAACAATCCCTTTCAATGTTGTCTTTTGTGCAGACCGGTTTGGACTTGGACAGCCAGGCAGGATGCCTGCTTCTGTGAATGCCATGCGAGTCCTGAGCACAAGCACAGATCTGGAGGCTGCTGTGGCCGATGCACTGGTAAGAGGAAAAATACAAAATGCTTCCGACACCGGAAAGTGGCTTAAAGTTACCTGTACGTACGTTCTCCTCTTTCTTAATAGCTTTGTTCTGTTTGTGCCAGTGTCTGATGCTGTAGAGTTAGCTACCTTTTGCTGTTTTGTCTTTGGGTATATCGGCAGCAATATTTGTTTCCTTATTCCATGTTGGTTCTCCACAGTTGTTATCAAACAGACCGCTGTGGCTCAGTGCTAGAGTGCAGGACAGGTTGAATGAGCTGATTGTCTTTCACTTGGCTGCTAGAGGATATACACAGCACTGTGGGGGTGCTCGGGATCCATCAATCCCATTACCTGCATGAAGACTTTGTCAGAAAAACACAGTGTTCTCTGTTAGTGTCAGTTCCTGATCAGGTTTCAACAAGAACTGAGAATTTCACAAGTTCCTGCCCTGTGTTATTTGCACCTGGCTAGATACTTGGGTCAGCTCGTAACTTGCCTTGCATGTATTCCGTACCATCTCATGCAGTTAAATTGAAGCGTATTTGTCTAGTTTGCTGCTAGTACTTTCAAACATTCAGTGCATTTCCAAGTAAATTTATTGTCATTTTTTGAAATTGTATTTTCCTGTATAATCTTACTGTACTATAATATTTCTCGGCTAGAAACCAGAAAGTGTTTTCTGCTCTTCAGAAGGCAAGTGTTGAGATAAGCCTGGATTAAGATTTACCTGGAGTGTTTGGGGGAGAGGATGTGTAGAGGCAGGAGAAGTTATTGTACAGCCTTAGCTGGGTACCAGTGTACCTTGGGTCTTCTCCAGCTCTAGACCTGAGCTGAGAGGAGAATTTCCTGATGTATCTTGAGATAGATATTTCAGATCTCTCTTTATGGAGAATGAACAGTGTCCTCAGAGTTTGTGACAGATGTCCTTTTTCCATTTCCTAGTTCACTTTTCCTGGGGATGTCTAACATTTTCTTTTATATATTTGATTATCACCCAGCTCATGGTACCTCCATTTCTAGATGATTATATTAGAGTATTCCTAGACAAATACCACTCTTTACAAAATCTACCTTTCCATTAAAAAAAAAGTATTTGTGAATAATATAAAGGTAGGACAGTATATAATAGATGGCACTGTTGCATTCAGTGGGCTGAAGCATTAGTGGGCATTTTTCATTACCAAATACAATAGCTTGTGAGTCAATTGCTGTTCTCAGCACTTCAAATTTGCCACCAGAGCAGTTCAGGGCATAATTATAGGTGATGGTTTACCTGCATAAATGAAATCAGGCTGTATCCCTGAATGTGAGCAGTTGCTGAATACAGGTTTCTTGAGGGAGGAGAGGATCGGTGTTTCAATTCACTGCTGATCACTGAGATATCTTTCGATGTGACTTAATCTTCAGCTAGACTTACAGAGTTCCCTTCTAAATATTCCAGTCCTTTAAACTAAATAACATTATACTGGAATGTTAAAATCTTAAAGGATTGAAGACTTAAAAGGGAAATCCTTAAGTCTAACTGGAAACTAAGCAGTGCTGCTGACTTGGTTGATCAATCTGAATTTGTATGACTTTAGGGGATGCAACGTGATCTTGTTGTCCCCTTCTTTCCCACCACCCCAATTTGCTCTTTTTCTTGGTTGTCGTCTTACAACAGGCAATTTACAAACTCGGTTCAGGCTCCTTTTGAGAGAGTAATGTGATGCCAGTTTTTACCCAGCAGCCTTGTTTTTGGAGGATTATTCTTTTCCCTGTAGTAGGAATGAAAAGAACTTCTCCAAAGATGGATTCAGCCAAATACTCAGTTTAAACAAAATACAGTGGGTCATTTTGTGACCTCTACTCCCTGTGTACAATTCGCGTTGGATCCACTGCTTCTGTTCAAGAGCTGGACTTGGCCTAAACCCACAGTGTCTGTACTGGGAATCAGTGCTCAAGATCTGTCAGAAGAGCTCAAAGGGTGATGGAAACTTTGGCATTAAGTAAGGCCTTTAAGCCAGGGGTGCCAGCCAGGGGGTCTTAAAAGAAGCTAAGCTTCAAAAAAGTGTGGCGTAAGAACTGTGGGTTGAAAGAGAACTTGGTTAAGTGAAGCTGATTAAATGTGCTGTACTGTAGATAGTGGTTTCCTGACATCAGAATTTCTTTCCAAGTTTCTAAAATCTACTATCTAAAAAGCTACTAATAATATGTGGGGAAATAAATCATTACCAAAAACTCTGGTATCTTCCAGAGCAGCGTTTCTGAAAAGTAAGCAAAGAGGTGCTGTATATAGATCTGTCATAAAAAAAACTTATTAACAGATAATCTCATTTCCAAGCTCCCTAATGGAAATTGTAGGCTATATGAGTAGAGCAACAGTTAGGAGACAGTGTCAGATATCATTATACCCACTTTTATTTTGCGTAAACTGTTTTTTTTTTTTTAATTTGCTAAGACACATTTGCTATACGTTTTTGTTGCAAAAACAAACCCTACATAAGCTTCTGACATAATTCTCTATGCTTTTTCCCACCCTTCAATATTTTCCTGCCTACAGCTCTTAGGAGACTCCAGGAGCAAGGTACTAGTGCTTTCTTGACTTTTTATTTCTACTTTCCAACTTTCCCCACCCTGTTGCTAACGCCCATGATACTGCACTTGAGTTAATTTCTACGCTTCAATCCTGCAGTCCTAGTGGAAGCAAAACTCTGCTAGATTCACAAGTCCAAGAACTGCAGGACTGGACACTGGAAGGAATTCTGTAGCAAACACTTTAGAATATAGACAGTCTGTTTCCGATACGTTGTCTTATCAGTGCTGTTCTGTTAAGGTTCATTTAGGAGTTTGTTTTGTAGTATAGCATACAATTTGTTTTGCTACCATAATTCTAATATCCCTTCTCTAAGGATCGAAATTGTCAGAGATGTACCTAAGGGAATCAGGTCCTCTAATGCCATGCTATGGAAATGAGTGGGATTTGAGTACTCAGTTCCCTTAGCCTCTAGAAAAACCCTAGCCCAAACTAACAGAAATTGTCATCTCCTATATCCCAGTGCATTTCTAGAGTCACTTCATTATCAACATCAAAGTGACTGTGCATGCCAGCACAGATTCCTTCAGCTCTTTCTTCCTTATCTTTATTTTTTTTTCTTGAAATAGAGGTTGTATCATCATAGAATCTAACAATGGAACTGACCATTATTGACAGTAAAACAGCATATGATTTCACTTAAATATCTCACTTTCATGCTGGGGAAGGCAGGCCCTGCTCCCCTTAGTCACTCAAATAGTCTCATTGAAATCAGTAGGATCTGTCTTGCTCTACTGTGAGAGGTAAGCAGGCAGTGCTTGGTGACGTCTTTAAAACACTTATGTCACTATAACAATAGCATTAGTCTTCCTTTTAGTCATTAGGGATAGAATGTTTTTCTTTTGGCATTGATAAAACTATATATAACTTACTAAGTCTGAATTTCCCCTTTTCCAGAAAAAGCCAGTGAGAAGAAGATATGAACCCTATGGGATGTACTCTGATGATGATGCTAACAGCGATGCATCAAGCGCTTGCTCGGAGCGCTCCTATGGTTCCAGGAACGGGGGCATTCCACACTACCTGCGGCAGACTGAAGACGTGGCAGAGGTCCTGAACCACTGTGCCAGCTCCAACTGGTCTGAAAGGAAGGAGGGGCTCATAGGTCTTCAGAACTTACTGAAAAGCCAGCGGACTCTGAGGTGACCTTGATGGTTTTATAGTGTTAGTAATTCATGAGAGATGCCCAAAGTCTGCAGTCAGTAATACGTACCTGCCTTATGGAGACAGATAGTATCTTTCACAGCTCTGAAGGCTTTGTCTCCACAATGTGGGACTTTAATTACTTTTGGAAAAATTTCTGCTGTCATCAGTGTAATTTGTGTTAAATTTGTAGCAGTAATGTAGAAAGGACTGAGGTAAGCATGCTGTCTTCTCTTAGCCTTCCTTTGTCTCATGAAGACCTCCAATGGTAGGTGCTTGTTGCAGCACAGTGAGATTTCCCACGACGATGGTATTGTAAATGCGCCCAAAGGGTGGTACTGTTTTTACATTAGTCTGTTTGAACCTTCAGTATTTTCTTCCCTAGCAACTTGGTAGGTGAAACAAACACTCACTGCACTTACTCTAAAATGATTCAGGGTGTGTGTGTTTCAAAGATGAGATCAGACGATGCTCTCAGTATGTTGGGTATACTTTGACTCTTTATAAAGGCTGCGTTAGGTATAATTATAGATATTATTTGTAACTCTTAAAAAAAATCTTCTATCAGAAGCTTGAGTCTCCTATAAATGGTGTAGTTTATAATGTAGAGGGAAGTTTCTTAGGGCAATGAAGTAGGTGTACTAACTCTGAAACTTTGCTTATGGTAGGAGAGGCAGACCTTCTTCCCTTGTTGAAAGCCACAATAAACCCTTCAAACACCTTTGGCATGTCACATGTTAAAACACATCTTAAAATTACCCAATAATCATGTGGAAGCTTCATATGGCCACAGGTCATGTTAACTAAAGTCAACTGGCTCTTGGGCCGTAGACTTTTCACCCTTAGTTTACGGTGAAAGTGTTTGGAAACAAGCTGTTTATCTCTTGGTTCCTTTGAAGATAACATTCATGAATAGCTGTGATGTTTTTATTTTTCTGTTGTGAATACTATGCACTTAAATTATGACCAAGTTTATAAGTTGTTGTATGGTTTATAGCCCACCTACTTGGATTTGCACAATTGTTTCCATTTTGAAAGGCCTTCATACTGGCTGAAAATATTTGATGGTTCATGTTAACAGACTGAATGAAAATGTACTGAGAGCAGGCCTGGGAAGGTTATTCTCTTGCCATCATAAAAATATTCTACCACTTAACATGATGTGGTACAGTCCTTAAGTGGGAAGTGCTACAGGTTTTTAATATGGGTAGTTAGAGTCTCTAGATCAGAGATGCTTTTTGATGTGGTCTATTTACAAGTCTTTTAAAAGATAATTCCCACTTGTATGCTGTCTTTTTTCTTTATTTTAATGAACTGTCTGGAGAAACTGTGACACCTCATATACTTGTATGAAAAAGCTGGGTGAGACTTTGATTTTGCCACAAAGGTGTGTGAGGATTATAAACAACACTTTGAGTGCTGTTGGGGATAGTTCCAAGGGAGGAAAGGCTGAGAAGGTTGGGTGATGGGCTATTATCCAGATCAGTAGCTCTTAGCAGAAATGCCGGTAGAATTAAACTACTGTTTCCAACCCTGTTGGTTGCAGTGTTCGAACTGTACTGCTGTCACTAGTCCCTCAAGCTAGCAAGTTCTCTTAGCTTTGGTCCTGAATAATTTATAAACCTGTCCCAGAAACTACACCCCTGCAGAGTTATTTTTTTTTAATTTGATACTGGGTTTAGTTTTCTAGATTATATTTCATTTTGTTTTGCTTTTAGTCTGCTTCCTCCTTGATTCAGGGTTGATCTGGTGCCCGTTCTAATGATTAGATTTTATCATCTTGTTTGCTCCCACGGCATCTTGCAGAACATCATCAAGGTCATTAGTCCAAGGGGCAAGTCTGTCCTGTCTTCTAATTAAACCTGGTATCTTCTGTTGTGGTGTAACAAGTTTAATAAAAGGCAGTGATGTGGCTAGGTTTTCTTTAGTACTCCGAACTGAAAGATGGCTGATCCTATATTAGATGGGATTTGCATATCCAGAAAGATGTGCATGCAAAGTGGTGTGGTGCTTACCTATCCTCTTTGTTTCGTACGGCTTCATGTGGCCTAGTTCTCTAAGGGTTCCCCATAAGGTCTTCTAAATAAAACAAGGCCAACAAGTCCCTTAAGGAAATGTTCTTCCTCTGCCTGTTTCAGTTTAGTACTTGCATTGTTACCTCGGGTCCATGAGCTTTTAGAAAGAGACATGCTTATACTCGCTGCCTTCATGTAACCTTTGTCCAGAAAGAAAATGCATTAGAGTAATAAATAAGGGTTCATTCAAAGAGCTGCAATCTGCATGAAGTCAGGGGAGCGTTGTAGACTATAATCATTTTGAGACTCTGCAGTCTTATCTTGAATGAAGCTGACAGCTTGCTGTGGTGTTGTTACAAAGACTTTTTCCTCTACATCAAACTCTTAAGACCATTGGTTGTGTGCCCTTCTAAAATTTGGTCAGCCTTTCATGCATAGATTTATTTGAAAAAAAGTCCCGTACTACTTATAAACAAACTAACATAAAATACCTGTAGACTAGTAGCATATTCTGCCCTGTTCTGTGAAGCTTATTTTGAGAGAGAGATATGTCGGTGGACTATAGAATTAATGTCTTTCTGGAAAGAAGGTACCTGTAGTCAAGACCTGAATGGCTGTTCTCTGAGCAATCCATGTGCATTTCACTAGTTGCTCTGGTTTCATAGTAACTGAAAAATATCTAATTGCATCTTAACTATATTGCTCTGTTTTTCTTTGCACAGTAAACAAGCAAAACTTCTGCATTCTTTTGCAGTTTGCCTTGCAGGAAAACTAAGACTTGTATTTTCAAGACATTGCAGATAAGAGCTTTGGCACCAAACAGTTCTGCATTTGACTCAAACTCAGTATCATATGAAAGGGACCCTGTCGTGGTTTAACCCCAGCCAGCAACTAAGAACCACCCAGCCGCTCACTCGCTTCCCCCCAACCCAGTGGGATAGGGGAGAGAATTGGAAAAAATGTAAAACTTGTGGGTTGAGATAAGAACAGTTTAATAGGACCAAAAGGAAGAAACTAATAATTATGATAACAATAAAAAAATGACAATAATAATAATAAAAGGATTGGAATATACAAAACGAGTGATGCACAATGCAATTGTTCACCTGCCAACCGATGCCCAGTTAGTTCCCAAGCAGTGATCCACACCGCCCCCCCCAGGCCAACTCCCCCCAGTTTATATACTGGACATGATGTCACATGGTCTGGAATACCCCTTTGGCCAGTTTGGGTCAGCGGCCCTGGCTGTGTCCCCTCCCAAGTTCTTGTGCCCCTCCAGCCTTCTTGCTGGCTGGGCATGAGAAGCTGAAAAATCCTTGACTTACTCTAAACACTGCTTGGCAACAACTGAAAACATCAGTGTGTTATCAACATTCTTCTCATACTGAATCCAAGACATAACACTGTACCAGCTACTAGGAAGAAAGTTAACTCTCCCACCTGAAACCAGGACAGGCCCATACATCATTCTTTCCTCCCCTGGCATAAAAAGAACATTACTGAGCACCTAATAATTTCTTACTAATAGGAACTTAGATTGTGCCTTAATTTAATTATCTTCTGACTTAACTAGGTTGCCCACTTGATAATCTGGTTTCCATTTCTATATATTTGTCTCCTCAATGTGCCTGCTGTCAGCCTTTGGAGTCAGTTCTGGTATCTGTTAATACCGTGTGATTCTAGACTGATTTCACTGAGGCAACTGAGAGTTTAGACCAAAATATTTATGATTAGTATATACTCAAACAGCATGAAAGTTCTGATTTTACTTGGAAGTTTGAATTCCCTGACACAAAGGACACTTGAGAAACCTATGCCTAGGCTGCAGAAGACCCCGTGTTTCAGTGAGTCAGCAAGCTTGACACAGGCAGAAAGCGAATACCTCCCAAATGTGCACATTTCAAGTTGTTTTCTGCAATCCAGAATATAGAAGAAAATAGAAGCAGTAGAAAATACAAGTGTCTGGCTTATGATTTTTTAAAAAAATGTTTATTAGATTTCTTGATGTAAGACTGGTGTTCCCAGCAGTTAAACTGGAATGTCAGTTAAGGCTTTACCCAGGTACGGAGTTTTCAGAAGTGTGACCTAAGTAACACTAAAATAAAGAAGGTTAAATCTTTCAGCTGTTAATATTTATTAGCTTTTTTGCTGCAACTAAAGCTTTAGCATTAATATAATGTTTTATTTATGTATTTTAGCCGAGTCGAGTTAAAAAGGCTATGTGAAATATTTACTCGCATGTTTGCTGACCCTCACAGCAAGGTAAGATCACAAAGACTTGTCTCGCTCTCTTACATTACCATGTGTGCACATTGGACACTGTTCCAAGATGAATACTTTGTATTTCTACCCCTGCCATCTGCTGGGGGAAAACTGGCATTTATAAATCTCCTTGATTTTTATCTGTTCTACAATGAAGGGTTGTGTCTCAGTCTCTCTTATCTTGCTAGGAACTGGTTACTGCGTGCTTCCCAAGAAGCAGCCTAATGTCTTTCAGATGTCAGCTCCTGGAGCGAGAAGTTCAGTTTTACCTGTACTTCTCTAGGGAGTGTCTTGGTGATACACAGTAGAGTGGGGTCTGTGAAGGGTAATACATCATAGTTCAGCATCACGGTCACTGGGATTTGTGTATTTACGTATACAGCTGGGAGCAGTACAGGGTCTCACTGTTCTGGATCTCCTAACTAAAGTCTCTAGTATAGCCACTTTGCACTCTTTATAACACTGACCTTAAGTTAAAGGTTGTGGCATTAATTTACAGACATCTCTTAAAATGAAATAGGCTAGTTAATGGGGAGGTTGGGCCCATAGGCATGTTCAGACCCAGTGGTCTTCTGTGGACAGGTAAGTGGGAGCAGGGAGAGGGGAAAAGGGAGTTTTGTGCCCTTTCCTGAGGAGGTTTGCTGGTTGAGGGCAACCAGTAATGGCTGGGTAAAAACATTTGCCGTTGGGTTAAATAACAGTTTGAGAAAGAATAAGTTGTATAAATGTTTGTACTTCGGACCACTTGGTAAATGAGTTTTAATAAACAGTTATCACATGGAAATCCCTGGGCTGGCATAGTCGCCTGTCACAGGTCTTGGTCGAAGTGTGCATTTTTGGCCGTAATTATAGTCTGGACCAGCTGTCCCACAGGCCTTGCCAAGTGTGGGAGTTCCTACCTGTAAGGTCTTAATGTTTTGGTTCTCAAAGGTTCAGTATGTGTCATGGAAAGGGTGAAGGTGTAGCTATTTGTTTACAAAATATTTCCAATTTCTGAGTAAGGTGAGGGTTGATTGCACACTGGACTCAAGTATGTCCTCTGTGGCAGCGGTGACCTGTCGTCTGCACTGCTTTTATAGAATTACTGCTACAAACTCATTAGCTGTGGTGTTAAACATATGTAAACCTTATTACATATAAACATATGTTACTTTCATGACTGAGGAGACTGGATCTGATCCAAGGTATATAATGTTTAAGTAACTCAGCTGAGAAGAGATTGTGTTTTAAGAAAACGTAAACTTTCAATGAATGCATCTTTTATCTGTTGACAAACTGCATCTGAACAACCAGCCTAGATCACTATGTGTGCTAACGAGTGGTTTGTTTTGTTGCATGGCCTGCTTTGCTGTGGAATTCACAACAGAGAGTAAGTGTATTCTACCCCCTTCCTTCATTCGTTTTATGTGATATTTTAATACGACACATTTTAGACGTCTGATTTTTTTTCTTAGAGCAATGTAGTCACTAAAATAATTCATTCATGAAACTGTCTATAACAAAATCATCCTGAAACTCAGACTGTAATCCCCTCCCCTTTGATTATTTTTTATTTAAAGCACTGTATTCTTTTTTGTGACACTTGTTTTGTTTATAGGTCTTCAGCATGTTTCTGGAAACCCTGGTTGATTTCATCATCATTCATAAAGATGACTTGCAGGATTGGCTTTTTGTTCTCCTGACCCAGTTGCTAAAGAAAATGGGAGCAGATTTGCTGGGGTCTGTGCAGGCAAAAGTTCAAAAAGCTCTGGATGTCACCAGGTAGAGTACTCCGATGGCAAATGTTATGGAGGTTTTTGCAGGATTACAGGAAGGCATCTGATGAACGTTTTAGAAACCCAGCAGTGCCATATATTTTGAGGGCTCAGTCTTGATGAATACCAGAATAAAGGAGAACAAAGTTATGTCACTGTTTCAAGCATTGAATTAAAAAGGCCTGTCTCTTCTAAATAGATCACTTTTTAAAGCATAACATTTAAAATGTGTAACTGATTAATTTTGTTAATTTGTTTTTTTGGTGCGCATGTGCTTAGATATTGATTTTCTTTTTGATTGATGGAAAAAAAAATACTTGCAGTGTTCAGAATATGAATGGTGCTTTACCACAAAGTTCAGAGCATCTTTCATGTTGTTCAAACAGCAAATAATGGTAATGTCAGGATAAGACCTTGAATGCTACTGTGATGTGCACACCAACTCTGTAGTCCATGTTCTTTTCTAAGGATGTCCAACACAGGACACTGTTAGAATAAAGGTTGGTTCATCCTGGAAATAGGATAATTTAAAAAAAAAATAAATAAATTGTAGTAACAGGAGAAAATAGGATAGAGTAGGGAAAAAGAAGAGAGAAATCAAAGCCAGGTATGAACTCTGAGGACAAGATAAACCAGGCTGCTTCTAGAGATAAGGGAACAAAGCACAGCCTGAAATGGAGGAGTGGATGGGTGTGCCAAAAGCTGGATAAGTGTACAGAAAGCAGATAGAGTAACAGTGTGTAAAGGGTATTGATTTAGCCCTTTTCTCCAGTATTAAATTAGTAACTTAGCTAATCCTTAGACTTGGAGTTTCTCTAGTTGATGGTAAAGTTAAGAAGAAAAGCATAATAGGTGTTGAAATCTGTTGTGTAAGCTTCAATGTATCGAGTTAATTTAGTCCTGAAAATTTGTTGCATCATATTTTTGCCTTTGTTTTCTTTGGACAGGGATTCTTTTCCATTTGATCAGCAATTTAACATTTTGATGAGGTTTATTGTAGATCAGACCCAAACACCAAACCTGAAGGTCAGTATCAAAAGCCTTTTCACTAATGCATCAACGTGGTTGTCTTAGCTTGCCATGTGAGGCATACTATAAAGCATAGACTCATGATAAGATAACTTACTTTAAGTACTGCACGATATAGAAATGATATCGGTAACTTTGATTAACTCTCTTGTTCTCCATTTTAATAAATCTAAATATCTTTAAAATAGGGCCCTGTAACTCATCACAAGTCAGTAAGAGTTGGGCTTTAAGCACACTGGAACGTATTAAAGTTTAGACATGGAAAATTTCTTTTCACGCTGGTCTTGGTGGGAAGAAAACCTGATTTTGCAGGACAGAAGGGAGCAGACCCTGTCTGAATGGCTGGGAAGTTGGGATTCTAGGCACACCTTAACAAGTACTTGTCGTACAGATCAGACATAGCATGTGTAGGGTTTGGAGAAAGGAAAAAAAAAAACAACAATAAAAAATAATCAGAGCTTTCTGTTACTGAATCCTCCCAAAGGGATACTGTTGTGAAGACTGTTTTTCAGGAGGTTGCTGTTTCAAGGCTATAGAAACGCTGTAAACTCTGGAAGTAATACACATTTATCTTCCAGAGACAGGAATATACAGGATGCCAAATGACTCAAGTGTTCTTTCTTCAGTCTCTCAAATTTTGTGTCTTTGGAGACTCCAGCATCAAGCATTTGGTTTGAGACCAAAAGCTATGGTTTGGCATCCAGAACAATAACTGCTGGTGGAAACAGCGTGATGGTGTACTGATTTGCTTATGCAAACACACAAGCAGACACATGTATTTCAAGCTAGTTCTGATACGCCATTGCGAACTTTTACGACACAAAATTTATCCTGGGTAGAAAGTGGCTCTTGATTTTTTGAAACATGACATAGAGACATGTCACAGGGATATTTATTTTTCCCCCATGTGACGTGTCTTGTCAATCTGTAAAGGTATCTGTTTGTTATAGGATAAATCCATCTTTGCTAGCACGTGAGCTTAACAAATCCCTTTTCACTTCTCAGGTAAAAGTTGCTATCCTGAAATATATTGAGTCCTTGGCAAGACAGATGGATCCAACAGACTTTGTGAACTCCAGTGAGACAAGACTTGCTGTATCTAGAATTATAACTTGGACAACAGAACCAAAGAGCTCAGACGTGAGAAAGGTAATAAGCAGGGATGATGAAGCATTTGCAGTAATTATTATTCTTCCCCAAAAAACCCCAAACCCAACAAAAACCAGTCATAAAGGCAATGAAAAATACAGTGATTAGATTCTAATGTAAAAAAAATGGATTTTACATACTTTACTGTCCAAACCAAATTGCTAATTTAGTGAAGACACATTTCTGAAGCATGTCTTCATATAGGTATTTTTTTCCTAGTAGGTACTTAGCTGTGTGACTTTACTAGTACTGTGCAAAATGAGATCATAGTTTGAAAATGTGCTTTTTCTTGAGCAGTCTGGAAATATCTCTAGGTTTTTGTTTATTTAGGTGAAGGCTCTCTGCTTTGTAGACTTAAATCCAGCACAACTTCTGTCTTATAGTATTGTTAAAAGAAAGTAAAAGAATCAGTAAGCTGCCAGGGGCTCTCAGTTCTCTTAAGAGCTGTGTGTTTATCTCAACCTGGAAAAAACTGACACATTTAGGTCAGGCCTGGGTAATACAGTTACCTTGTTCTTTATCTTGCTCTAGATGCAAGTGTCAGGCAAGCTAAAATGGGCCCCAGATAGTGATACTCATCTCTCCCAAGAGAAAAGTGAGACTTAGCTTTATGTACCTGGTACCTGTAACACAATTTAAAACTACCTTCTCTTCCCAGCCCAGATGTAGAAATAGATTCCAGTAGGAGTTGAAGGCTTTGAGATGTACTTGGATTTAAAAAAACAAAACACTTTAAGCATTTCAGAATGTAAAAATTGTATATTTTTACATTCTACATGCACTTAAAATGTTGAAATAATACTAGAATAATGTATTATTTTATAACTTTGGAAATAAGAAAATTATTTTTGCTATTAGTGATTATTTGGTTCTGCTTGAAAAATCACTGGGTATTAAAGGTGCTGCAACTGCAGCATTATCTGACAGCTGACACAAGGCTTCAAAGAAGCTTTTTGGGTCTATGCTGTTTGCTTTCTGACATACAGCTGATTGGATCTAGAGAAAAATGTCTTATCCTCTTTCTGAAGACTTTCTGCAGAGGTTATTTGCACCAGTGTGACTGAAATTTGCTTCTGCAAGATAGTCTGCCTCAGAAAAAAAGGATGACTTTAAATGCTGGACTTAGATCTGGAATAATGCATTTCCATTTTGATGCTTCCATGTACAAAGTCAGAAAGAATTAAACAGGCAAAGAAGCTGCTTCTCTGTTACAGTTCAAGTAAACCTCAAGCAGTGTACCCTGGTGGCCTGTGAGAGGGAGTTGTGATTAATTTAAGTAGAAATATACAGCAAAAAGCAAAATCTCTGCATAGTGCTTGGCAGAAGAAATATTTCACCATTAGGGGTCATCATTGCTGCATGCAAAATTGAGTGAAGAGTATCTGCAGCAGCTGAAAAAATTGGCTGTTTGCTGTGAAGCTGTGGGATGTGGGGAGTGGGTGTTCACAGTGTGGTGTCCATCCTGTTTGAAAGACTTGCAGAGCTCTGGCAAAACTTCCAGCAAACTCCACCTGAGCAATACCTGGGCAAGTCCCTTGGGGCTGACAAGAGATTACAGAATCTAAGTGCTTTTTATTAAACCTGCATGTGACTTGGATTTGCCTCTGATGCTTGTAGCTTTCAAATAAATTATTACACAGTTAAGCTAACTTAGGCTAGTAAAAATGAACACCCAGGTGATCTTTATTTCATCATACCGTTGCTGTACTATGATTTTATTAAGAACACAGTACAAACCACAGACTTTAAAAGAAACACTGCAGCAAAGGATTTACAAGCAATCATTGGCCATTCTCTGTCAGGACTGTAGTTAACAGGCTAATAAATTCATTATGCAGTAACAAACTGGATTATCAAGGGCCAACCCAGACCAATAAAATGTTCTGAAGAACACAATTAAAAAATTGTTGTCTTTTTTTTTTTGAGACTATAACTTGGAAAAAAGTACCTTTTTTATATCGAGATGATTCATTTAAGCATCAGAAGATGCTGCCCTCATGGAAGGTATTATGGTGGCCTTCAAGATCTGAGGTTTTCTAAGTGCAGAGCAGACCGTGCATTGTAAACATAAACATTGTCACAACCTAAAAATGGAGACAGCAATTGAGGTTATGGGGGAGATGGAGAAGAACCAGTTCAGTCTTCAAATGATCAAAGTACTACAAGAGGCCTGTAAAAAGTATAAAATAAGGTAATTTTTCAAAAGAATCTGGATTTGAAACCACCAGTGCAATCAACTCAACTCCTGTAAGCTGACAAGAGCACACTTCGGTTTTGGTAGCGAGGAGTCTTGGCTGGTGTAGTCCAGTCCACGTATAGTACTGTGGTTGACTTCGTGGAACAGAGATGCCAGTGCTCAACTACCCCTGGAGGCAGGGACTCGTTCCCCCAAGAAATGCAGTCCCGCAGCCAATGTGGTTCTCACCCAGATTTCAGTTACTGAATGCTACCTTAATGCAAGTAGCATCTGTGTGCATGATGGCCATGCTGTTCTGTCTGGATTTTACCTTTGAGCAGATGAAGGTAAAACAAGCTTGCTTATGCTGGTGGTGAAGTATAAAAATTACCTCTGTCAGTGGAGAAAGCATGTGGCTGCTTTAGTCATACAGATCTGATCCTATGGTAGCAATCAAGGGGTCTTTGAAGAAATGGATTATATTTTTGGTCAATAGTGAGATTATCCTTTCATTAATGATCATCAGTCCATTACTACTATTCATTATGTGTGATGGTCATGGAGGTCCCAGCCCTGTAGTGTTAAGGCTCTGGAGAAAAATAGAACAAAAAGTGGCATTTAGTCCAAAAACCTTTTTAAAACTGAATGATACAGCTTTATTAATAAACTTTGCATAGTCTTATGATGACTACTTAAGCACATTTAATGAGCACGCTTAACCTCTCTGACAGCTGACTTTGAACTACAGATCATGTTTTATAGCTAGTGAAATCAGAAAGAAACTTAGTCAAAAGAAATGCTGTTGTGCATAAAACAGTTTATGTTCTCGTATGGAATGATATCTGTAGCAAAACAAGCTCTGTTATCACAATAAAAACATGATGTACTTTGAGGAACATATGGTTGATACTACAGAGTGTCATTGACAAAATATCGTGATTCCCTCTCAGGGTAGAAGCCATTTGAGCTGCTGATAGTAGCTATGAACTAGGTAGGGTCAAAATTATTGTCAAGCTTTATGTTTAAAATAAGGTGATCAGCAGTGTATTATGGGTAAATATTTGTCTTGGTTTAAAGTTTGTTAATACTTCTGGGTGTTTACCCTGCATTCAAGTTAAGATTTAGTTCCTGCAAGCAGTGCTAGGAGAAAGGTGAAAGACGTTTGTCCTCCGTGCTGAACAAAAGCCATTGGGTAGGAACAGGTCACGCAGCACTCTGTGGAGACCTGGATGGGATGAGGTTCCAGTGCAAGGAGAGCACCTGTTGGTAGTTTCCACACATACAGCCACCTTGCTGCTTTTTCCCCAAGCAGAACATATCAATGGGTGGGGCACAGATCAGGATTTCAGATAACTGAGCTCTAATTTTGATTGCAGTAGTGTCTAACCTTGTGTGATGCACCTGACTTTCCTCTGCCTTGGTTTATTCCTCTCTGTAACATGGCATTAAGTCTGATTTTTTTCCTCTGGAAAGTGGTTAAGATTTGATGAAATCATTTTACATAAGCTAGTCAATTACCACACAGAAAAGTAATACAGTGGCAACAGAAATACTGTGGTGACTGGTCTGAGGACATTAAGTCAGTAACTTTACCATGTTATCACTAATACTGCCAGCAAAGTTACTGTGCAATCCTTACGTAGGTGAAGTGCTTGTTGAATTTGGATGACAGGCTCGGGCTCTGTGTGGGAACGTACTTTGATCTTGGAAAAGAGCCATCAGTTTGAGAATGGAAATGAGAACGAGGCTTCTGCTTTGAGTCTGGCCAAAGCCTAAAGAAGCCTCCTGTCCAAGGCTCGAGGGAATGGAAACTTTTATTAAACATGAGTGCTCAGCATTTGAGGGGTGGAGTCATCAGTGAGGGCACACAAGATCTCAGCGTTTAGGAGGAGCTTGTACAGGCTGAAGGGGAGCAAGGCCTTCTGAGGTGAAGGGCCAGTGACATTGCCTACTGTCTTGTTAATCAGCCAAGCTCTGGTTTTAACAATAAATAACAAGATTTGTATTGCCTGATCGCCATTTGGACTACTAATCTTAGGGAAGAAGAAATTTTTCCTTTGTGCCAGATACCCTGACTGGCTTCTCTGTTGATGAAACATTCCTACAGCAGTTCTATTTTACAAGCCTGAATGCCATTTTACACGTTATGGGCAGCCTTGTGTCACATGTACGTCATGTTCTGCCTTCCACTTATGTAACTGGGAAAACTTTTTCTTTCAACTGTCCTGCCCATTACTGAGTTTGGCCAAGCTGCCCTTGAGTACAGACAGTGGATGGGACTTGGTAAGAAACTAGAACCGTTGCAATGAATCCAAAAGCCCAGGAGAGTGCATGCGTTACTGTTATTTGCATGAAGTCCCCCTCAGACTACCTAGGGGTAGGGCTCTCCTTGGATTGGCACCACTGGTTTGCAGCTGAAGTCTAGAGGTGTCCAAAGAAAACAAGTTTGGGATCAGATTTTTTCCTAAAAGTGATTAATTGAGAAACTGTTTCTGAATTATATGGGAAAATAAGGAAGATTTCAGAGAGAAAGCAACAGGTCAACAAATTCTTCATATGCTCAAACAGCCAAAGAAGATGTAAATACATCTTCAACTAGTAGTCCTAGATGTCATTTCTTGAGAAATATTGATGCAGTCACTTTGATAAGGAAATAATATCTATCAATAAGTCCAGGGCAAGTTTGTTTAAAATATTGCTGTGATGTCTGTAGGAGGACCAGTGATAGACAGGAAAGCAAACACTGTTAAGGAAATGAAATTGGGGTCCTTTGCAATGTGATGCCATGAGACCTCTAAAATCTCTCCTGAAGCTTTAATTTTCC